TTCCGTACAGGACTCGCCGATTCACTGTTCGGACTCGTCGATTCCGTACTGTGAATCGGCGAGTCACTGTACAGAATCGTCCGGTTCTCTCTAGAACCGGACGATTCCAGTTTTTTTCGCCTATTCGATCCGTCCATGGCGATTCCCGAGTCGAACCGGGCGAGTCCGGTTCAACTCGACTTTTTTTTAAACACTGGTTTAGAGAGAAGAGGAGGAAGAAGGAAGAGAAGAAAATAGGGCTGGCACAAACCCTAATGGAAGAGGCCGTAACTTATTTATAGAAAAAGAAAATGAAGATGGGATGCTAATTTGGGATAGTTTAAAGAGGGCTTTTCTCTCTGGTTTGGGATGTCGTTTGAGAGAAAGCCCTAACTATAAAGCCCTAACTATACTGAAACAGCAAGCACAGCTGAAGGACTAGGACAATTTCATGCTCCTGTAAGTTTACAATTTACACTATATTGTTTATCTTTGTTATCACATAATCAAAAGCAAAATATTGATTCTTTGGTCCTATAGTCACACTATCTTTTCTCATTCATCAGTCAAAGACTATGTTTTGAGCTCTAATTTGTGCCATAAACAGTCTTTTTCATAAAAACAATTATCACAAATAATCACAGAAATTTGCATATATATGATTTTTTTTTACACAATAATTTACTTTACAAAATAATTTGTACACAATAATTTACTTTTATAAAATGATTTGCTGTAAACAATATTTCATTTACACAATGATTTTCCATAATAACACTGAAATCTGCATCTATTTGTTTAAGTTAAAAAAAAAAAAGGGAAAAAAAATTCATACCTTCAATCTACTGTGGCTTTGAAGAACATAGTGGGGATAAAAATTTCTATTTTAGGTTTTTTTAAATAATATTTTTTTTTCAAAAGCATGAAAGTAGCAATGGTTGCAATACAAAAAACAGAAATATATATATCTTTCAAAAAAAAGTTATAGGTAAAAAATGATACGACTTTTTGGCCAGATTTAAATCGTATAATTAAAAAAACTCGTTTTAAACATTTTTATGAAAACAAAGCTACTTTTTTTTGACCTTTTAAAAAATGCGCCGTTTAAAACTGTTCCATAAAAACACCGATTTGTTTAAAACATCGCCGATTAAACGGCGATTTGCTAATTATAGTCCCGAACCGATTGCCAGTCCATTTTTGGACTTTTTTAATTTAAAAAATAAATGTAGTGCTGCATCGCTTCAGCCTCTTTCTTCTAAATTTCCAAGACGCCTGAATTCTGTAACCCCGTCCATAAGCTGAAGGTCTGCTTTGTCCTGTAGGGAAATGAGGCATTTGAAAACGCCTCTGGCTTTTCTAGGGTTTGCTCTTCTAGCTCTGTTAACAGCAGAAAGAGTACTCTGCATTCGCTCTCTGGATGGATCACAGATAGTTATGGTGGAGAGAAATGAGGCATGGAAAACAGCTGTGTTCGCTTTGGGAAGTTTCTGGAGAGCCGAAGCATCATTTGGTTGCTTGCCTGGTGTGATTCGGACACTTGCAGTCTATGCAGGGGGGACCAAGACTAATCCAGACTATCGTAGCCTTGGTGATCATGCCGAAGCTGTGCAAGTAAACTTTGATTCACAATTACATCTTTTGTATTAGAAATTATGGCCATGGATTGGATTTTAAGGTTGCTCATTGATTTTCTCTCTCTAGTTTCTTGTTTTGATTTTGAGTTGATGATGAATTAGGTTTTTTTTATTTTTTTTCATTTGAATGGTTCGATCTAATTGATTGGTTCATATGATGATGATTTAGCTGTTTCTTTTAAAGTTGAGATTGCTTTTTAATAATTTAATGTCTGTATTTTCAGGGGATGGTTCTGAACCCATTCAAGTGAGCTCAACTCATAGTTACTTCTCTCTTTTCCAGAAATCTTATTCTTCGCTTGAACTTTAAGATTCCTTGTTCACTTTCATTTTCTTTTTCTTTTTGATAAGATCATGAGCTGATTATATAAGCTTTTGATATGATTATGAGCTGATTATATAAGTTGTTCTATTGTGAGTGCTTAGATCCACTACATTAGCTGATATGGATAAATTAGCAACTCTTTTGAAATTTAGCTCCTTTTTTTTGCAATTTAATAACAGAAATTGTTAGACTTTATCGGAAATTTAATAATAATAATAATAATAATAATAATAATACTATTATTAATATTAGTATTAATATTAATAATGATATTAATAGTAATGATAATAAAAAATTAATATAGATATTGATATTACTATAGGGAAAATTGTTTCCTGCGGGCTGGACCGCATTTCTACATATGCGGTCCAGAAAGTGTACAGCATCCATCTTAAAGATGGATGCAAGTAGGTGTTCCATCTAAAAAACAATGGAAACCAACGGTCCCAATGTTTTCTTAGTAGAATTATTATTTCTAGTTTTTAAAATTTATTTATTTTTTTATATTCATGATCTCCATTTTAGAGATTACATGTCCTTAAAATTTAAGTCTTAAAATCCATCTCAAAAATAGATTTATTAAGAGGCCTGCATTTCTACATATGCAGGCTTGGCCGCATAGAAACAGGGTCCTTGATATAGATATTAATATTATTAACAATAATGATAATAATAATAATGATAATAACAGTAATAATAATCATAATCTAGTTCTTCTTGTGAAACTAAGATTATGTTTTTGCTATTGTTATTTCAGAGATTGTTAGACTTCATTTCAATTTGGATTCTAGATAAAGATTACTCCTGCATACCTGCTGATGGTTGCTACCATTCAGTTTCGTTTAGAAAAAAACAAAAGATGAAGATTCTCATGTATGTATGAAAAATGTTTTTGTCTTAACTGCAATGAGGAGGTTGAGAATGAAGGGGGTCATTGGCTTATGTTTTGGCAAATCAGTTATTGTAAAGTTTCGGTCATTTCTCAGAATCTTTTTTAAATGTATTCATTTTTTCTTGGAAAAAAGTATTATGGTTTTCAAATAGTGAAGTAAATTCTCAATATCAAAGAAAAAGGTATCTACCAATTGATTTCAGCTACCTTCTCAACAAGAATGCATTTTATGTCCTTGAGTCCAACAAGGATTGATAACTCATAATCTTATTCCATTTTCGTGCACTTTTACTCCATGGATTTCCCAATTATTTTGAATCATTCAAGATTTCAAGCCCCATTGACACATCTAGTTTATGTGCAACAGTGGTCTATTTCCCACCCCTGCTTTTCCATCACCCTGTAATTTATGCTTCATTCCACATGCTTGTGATCTCTAGCTGTGGAACTGGGCCCCCTAGATGATCTTCATATTAGGAGTGAAATATAATTAATTCCTGCCTTCATGACTGCTGAGTTCTCGTAATTTTAAACCAATCCAGCTTTTACCACTCGCCATCTTGGGCATTTAGTTCAACCTTGTGCACATATTTAATTGGCTCGTCTCCAAAACCATACTCAGATTTCAGTTCCTTGCATTTTTCCGACCTTCTAATTTTGCATTATATATTTATGAATTGCACTTTCAACCGTGGCTATTTTCTTCTCTTCTTGATAATGGTAACAACATGTTCCATTGAATCATCTCCTCGCCATCCCTTTTTGTTGTTGAAAACTTCAATATGAGGCCTTTCTCCGGCACCAGAGCTGCCTCTTGGGCTTTATGGCAATAAACTATATTGCATGAAACTGGTTAAGAGATGCAGTCTCGTTTCCTCAGTTATGTGACTTTTTGTCAAGGGGCTTTTCCAAGATTGCTACATCATTTGTGAATAATCATTCTTATGGGCAGCATCACTACTCTGTGCATTCTCAGTGTAATTCTTGTTCTATTATTTTGTCATATGAATGCGTGGAATACAATTCATTGGTTAATGTTGATTATCATGAGGAGTTGGTAGCTCATAATTATCTGCCTCCCAATTTCTGAATCTCAAATGGCATTTGATGGCCGACCTTGATGGTCCCAAACAAGCTCCTCGCACTCAATTTGAGAAATTCCCGACACGGTTATTTGAGGAAACTAATGACAAAGTAGCCTGAGTCGCCTCACTTCTTTGTTCACTGCTTTGTCTCTCGCTAGGGTGCTCGGTTTTCCAATCCTATCTCATCTCTTGGCGAATATGTTAATGGAAACACCCCTTAGTTGTGGAATAATCTACATAGCTGTTGATTCAGTTTTAGATGTCATTCACTGGAGTTAATTTAGTCTCATCTTAAGGTTAAGGTGAAGTAAAAAGACTATCTTCGTTTGCCATTTGTTAAGCCACCATATGGGAGAAATCTTTCCCTTTCTAATACTTTCTGACATGGATCAGTCAAATCTTCATATGATTGCATAATATGCATATGATTGCAGAAACTTCATGTCTTTTTGCCTATGTAGATTCTATTATTCTTTGGGATTTGCTTGGGTGGTATTCCAAGTTGTTGATGTAACGCTTGAAGTTGTTGATTCCCCCTCTCCCCTTGTGTCTCACTCCTTTGTTTCTTTGCTTTATTTCTTGGTTTCCACAGTATTCTAGTTTTCTATGTACATTTAAAGAGTCGTTTTCTCAGATATGTCTTTCAGAAAGCAGGAACCCATAGAACTAATGCAATGTTCTAACCTTGCAGGTTGATTATGATCCAAAGTTAATTAATTATAGGCAGCTTTTGGATGTCTTTTGGGCTAGTCACAATTCCACACAGGTTTTTGGTCAAGGTCCTGATGTAGGTAACCAATACAGGTAATCAGTAACTAGATGTAACAAATACTATCTTTGTGCAAAGTTCTATGGTATGTATTTAATATAATATTTTAGGTCAATAATTTTCAATAATGGAACTGAGGAGGCGAGGATGGCCGCTACTAGCAAAGAGAAAGAACAGGCTAAAATAAAAAGCAGCCTGGTGATAACACAAATTGAGCAATTGGGAGCTGTCTATCCTGCAGAATATGAGCACCAGGTAAAGTATCTTTAGGGTGTTCCATTTCTTTTTAGCGATTTGAGCATGACTTGACATTTAGAATAGCTCACGGATGCCAATTCTTGGTCATGTCATTTACTCTTGTGAATAATTGTGGAACACAACGGAAACTGCAAATCCTTGATTTCTCTCAAAAAAAACAAAAAGAAACTGCAAATCCTTGACATTGCAAATGACTAGTCAATTGGACTTTACAGTATTGATGGATGACTAGATTCTTGCATCGTTATTAGTGGGTGAATCGTAGAATATTTTACATGCGCAGATGCTAGGAGAACCATCTAACCTAGACCAGCAATCAATATAGTGGGATTGAGTTCTGAACATTTCATGTGCTCACTCATGAAAGAATAACAAAGTTGTTTTCTAGTTGATGTTCCCATTTCATTTCTATTTGATGAATCTGATTACTGAACTTAATCATGTGTGATTTTGAATAGCATACTATTTGAAATGTTATAGATTTATATGACTGACTATGATTCTAAACGAATTCTAAGTCTTTAATTGAGAAAGAAAGACATGATGGTAGTAGTTTTCATTTTTAGTTTATTTTTGATAAAATTAGAAATCATTTTTCCTGAATGGAATATGGAAGTGACCCTCATCTGAGAACCCTACCCGCAAGCAACTAGGAATAAGATGGAACTCCACATAAAAGTCCAACACTGAGCTTCATAGAACAGGGGGCCTGCAGCCTACTAGGAAGCTATAGAACACCCAGGTTGAACTCTAAACTAAACTATCCAAAATAGTGGGGTTCAACCCATATTCTTTCAGAACTGTCTCACATTATCGAGGTGCAATTTTCATAAGAAATTATCGTTTTCTTTATCGGTGCTTCATTTGAAGATATTACCTCCTGAGCATATCTTGACATTTAGAAAAGCTCACGGATGCCAATTCTTGGTCATATCATTTATGCTTGTGAAAAATTATGTAATACAGTGGAAATTGCAAATCTTTGATTTCTCTCTCAAAAAAAAAAACTGCAAATCCTTGACATTGCAAATGACTGGTTAATCGGACTTTACATATGTATTGATGAATGACTAGATTCTTGCATCATTATTAGTGGGTGAATCGTAGAGTATTTTATGTGTGCATATGCTAGGAGAACCATCTAACCTGGACCAGCAATCAATGTAGTGGGATAAAGTTTTGAACATTTCATGTGGTCACTCATGAAAGAATAAGAAAGTTGTTTTATAGTCGATGTTTGCATTTCATTTCTATTTTATGAGTCTGATTACTGAACTTAATCATGTGTGATTTTAAATAACATACTATTTGAAATGCTTATAGATTTCTATGACTGACTATGAATCTAAAAGAATGCTAAGTCGTTAATTGAGGAAGAAAGACATGATGCCAGTAGTTTTCAATATTAGTTTATTTTTTATAAAATTAGGAATCATTTTTCTTGAATGGAATATGGAAGTAACCATCATCTGAGAACCCTACCCGCAAGCAACTAGGAATAAGATGGAACTCCACAATAAAGTCCAACACTGAGCTTCATAGAACAGGGGGCCTGCAGCCTACAAGAAAGCTATAGAACACTCAGGTTGAACTCTAAACTAAACTATCCAAAATAGTGGGGTTCAACCCATATTCTTTCAGAACTGCCTAACTTTGTCGAGGTGCAATTTTCATAAGAAGTTATCGTTTTCTTTATCGGTGCTTCATTTGAAAATATTACCTCCTCCATACAACACACTACTCGTCTTTTGCCATTATTGATGTTGATGTTATAAGTAGCTTGCGATTTTCCAGCATTCAATATTTGAAAACTTGTCTTAGGAGTTGGCTTAGTCCTGAGCTGTCACCCCTTTGAAATTCAGCAAGTTCTGCTGGAGTACTGGGTCTGAAAATTATTGAATAATAGTAATTTATAGAAAACCTTGAGACCTAGTAAAACTCAAACAATTCTATTGCTTAAACCTGCGGGTAGTACCCGTGCGAGTTGGCAGCATGTCTGTAGCCTTACATGAGTCTATGTGCTATATAGTCCTCATGTCCAATCAACAGCAAGAGTTAACCACCATATGAATCATCTCATGTACCGGCCGGCTCACTCTCTTCCCCTCACCACATTTCCCTTTAAACATAGCAGTGTTTCTTTTTTGAGTACCAAACCAATTGTTCTTTTTTATGTGATTGTAGGTGCATAGCCTTATATTTTTGCATTTAGCTGGGTGCATGCACTTCTCCTTTAATTTTGAATTTTTCTACTCTGTTAATGAATCTGGTGCAAGAAACGTGCCACCCTGTGTCTTGTTGAAAATGCGATACAAAAATGTAGGAGTTGGGATCCATGTCTCTCTTTAAGTGGATTTGTGGGTAAGTTATGGGTTATGGAATTGTGGTAGGAGTTATCTTACAATGGGTATTTATTTTCTACTCTCTCTCTTTTGTGGTTAGTTATCTTAATAGGTAGGTATGAGTTGTAGTAGGGAGTTATCTTCTACTCTCTCTCGTGGTTAGTTATCTTAATAGGAAGGTATGAGTTGTAGTAGGGAGTTATCTTCTACTCTCTCTCGTGGTTAGTTATCTTAATAGGAAGTTATGAGTTGTAGTAGGGAGTTATCTTCTACTCTCTCTCTCGTGGTTAGTTATCTTAATAGGAAGTTATGAGTTGTAATAGGGAGTTATTTAAAGTTGGCCTTTAAATTTGAGTTGGAAGTTCTCTGTCCAAACTTTTGATATTCAAAATATTGTTTTGAGAGAGCAATAGTGATCACGTATTTTAACAATAACCCAAGAGTGGTATCAGGTTGCCAAGGTGTGGAGATTTATTACTTGGATAGGAGATTTAGGACCAGCAGAGACATGACTCAAAGGAGAGCGATAGAAATTTAAACTTTTTTATTTAATTTCTTGTATTATTCCATATAACGAACAATAGTAGTCCAAGTATTTCTCAACCATCAATTCTAATTTTCAAAAGTGAATTTTATGTGCATTAGAATATTTAAATGAAAACAATGTTTGGGTCTTATAAAAAAAAAAATATTCTAAGTGATTCTGCAAAATAAAAATAAAACAAAAATATTTCAGTCTTGATTAAAATGCTAAATGATTTGTAGTGAAAAAAAAAAAAAAAAGAAATGAAGAAAAATAAAAGTTTTAAAATGTGGTGTTCTTGGAAAAGGAGTTTTTTTCTATTTTAATTTCATGTACAAGATTTTTAATAATATTATGAGGTTTTCATCTTTCTTTTTTTTAGTGTAGACATTAGACATTAGGGCTTCAAGACTTTCAATATTTTTCTTTATTTGATAATTGTTTTATTTTCTTAGAATTCTCATATTCTCTTATTTAACGTTTTCAATTTCCATAATTTATTTCTTTTTCGTCAATTGCGATATAGGTCCTTTTTTGATAATTTTGTAAATTGGTATTTCAATCTTTTGCTTTTGGCAAATTTGCGTATGTTTTTTGGAGTAGAAATTGCCATATGTATTAGATTTTTTTTCTACAAAAAAAATAAATTGCAAACCCGCCATTTTTTTGACTTCTCATTGCATCTTTATGTCTTCTAATGACATAACACTCTAGGACTCTAGGACTGCGGCTCTTCTCAAAAAAAATATTTTTATGTGCCTCATTAGGCACCATCATACATTTTTCATGACATGCATACGGTCGTTTTTTGAAAAAAGCATTTTTCTATCCGTTTACGTGGCATCTTCATGGTACGACATATTAGGATTATGGTCTTTTTAAAAAAAATATTTTCCTATGCCTTTACCTGGCATCTTTGTGCCTTTTCGTGGCATAAGACTATGGCTTTTTTTATTTCTCATACACTAGTTATGGATTTCTCATAACAATGGTTCATGTACCCTTTTCATAATTTTTTTTTTTTTTTAAATCTCATTTCACAGTGGGAACTCTCCAATTTTGTTTACCATTTTTTTTTTAAAAAAATCTCTTCCTTTTCCAAGAACACCAAGAACTGTTCCTTTTTTTCTTGTTCTCATTGCAAATCACTTAGCATTTTTAATCAAGATTCAAATATTTTTGTTTTATTTTGCAAAATCACTTAGTAATGTTTTTTTTATCCAGACTCAAATATGTTTGTTTTATTTTGCAAAATCACTTAGTATTTTTTTTTTATCAAGACCTTCTTTCATTTTAATATTCCAATACTTATAAAAATTGGAGTCGATGGTTGAGAAATATTTATATGTTTGTCATATCGAATAATGTAGGAAATTAAATAAATAAATAAATTTAAATTTCTATCGCCTCTCCTTTGAGTTTTTTTAAATCTCCACTCTAATGTCTATCTCTTTGGCAACTGTGCTCTCCAATGCTTATCTGTTTTACAACCTGTGTTTTGTTATCCAATTTGAGCATCTAATCAGGATGATGCAAGGAACTTGCCACCCTGTGTCTGCATGATGAATGCAATCTTGTTTGAGCTTCTCATTGGAATGATGAGAAGTAGTGTTTAAAAAATTATCGATTTAGTTTGAGCTTCTCATTAGAATGATGAGAAGCAGTGTTTAAAAAATCATCGATTTAGTTTGAGCTTCTCATTGAAATAATGAGAAGCCGTGTTTAAAAAATCGTCGATTTTCGATCCGGATCAAAGATCTTCTTAAGCCATTTGGTTCCTATAATATATCGGGAATTAGTCGAGTCTTCCCTAAAACTAGATGGTTTGGATCGGTCTGTACTGATTCTCTGACGAAGCTAGACCGGTCTATTAGAGCATCGGTACATCGTTTTAAGAAGTTTGAATATTTTTTTTACTAAAAAGAGGTGGCAATGGGTCCACCCTCCATTATAATTTTTAAAAAAAGAATTAAAGAGAAGTGGCCAACCCTCTACTTCCTTTGTTACCCAAAGACTTTTTTTATTACTTGTTAGGAATGGCTCACAACCTTTATGATGAGTAGCTCAATCCATCCTAGCCGATAACCCTTATGAGCTACCTCATCTTAATGTTTCTCTCTCTCTCGTTGACCTTCTTCTTCCCTCACTCTTTTGTTACATTGGGCATTCTCTTCGGTGCTCATTTTATTTCCACATCAAAGCACAACCAATGTGTCACGGGGCTTAAGGCGTTATAATATTGAGGGAAGGGAAGGGTAGGGATGGATGTGGTTTCGCACTACCTAAGATGAGGTGGCTCATAAAGGTTGGGGCCAATCATATAAAGAAGCAATTTGGTAACAAAAGTAGTAGACCACGTTGCTACTTCTCTTCAAAAAGAAATTTAAAGTTATAAAGGAGGGTGGACCCCATTGCCACCTTCTAATAAAAAAATTTGTGTACTTTTGAAATTTTAAATTATGAGGGTGGCCCATTGCCACCTCTTTTAATAAAAAAATTTATACTTTTTAAACCGGTTCATAGACAGACTACTGGTTCTTTAATAGAACTGTCCACTTCCATCATAAAACTGTTGAGTTTTAAGGTAGAGTCAACCAGTTCTTGATATATTATAGGAACTGAATTGCTTAAGATCTTTTATCTAGATTGTCGATTTTTTAAGCACTAGTGAGAAGCATAGGTGCTTATAACATGGTCCTAGGGAAAACTAATTCACGCTCGACGGACGCTTTGACATGGTCTCAAGTGACCCGTAATTCTCAATGCATGTGAAATGGCATTTTCATTAGTGGCTCTTGTTTTTTGTTAAATCAACCATTATCTACCAATCCTTGCGTGATGTCTTACACTATTTTTGTTCGTTATGCATCATAGTCCCGACGACAAATAATATTTGGGATTGTTGTGCAGAAATTTGAGCTTAGACGGCACCCCTTTCTCCTCCAGCTCATGGGAAACTTGCCAGATGAGGAGCTTGTGCAATCTCGATTGGCAACAAAGCTCAATAGTTATGCTGCTGGGTTGTGCCCTCCTGCTACCCAGAAGTTGATGGATTCAAAGATAAATGACATCCTAAAAAAGGGATGGCCCATTTTGCAAGAGTTGTAAAACATTTTTATCCTCCCTTTGATTATATAAAGGGCTTGGTTCTTTATGGAAATTGTTTTGGCAAAAACAATCTTATTCATCAAACTAAAATGCTACAACATAGATGGAAGTATCACTCTCCTATTTTCCTCTTGGTTTCCCTTTCAAAAACTGCCAATAATAGAGTGGCATGAACATAGAACTTGGGATACATAGGTGTAAGCATCACTCTTCTGTTTTCCTTTTGGTTTCTCTTTCAAAAATTGCCAATAATAGAGTGGCATGAACATAGACCTTGGGATACATAGATGTAAGTATCACTCTTCTGTTTTCCTTTTGCTTAATCTTTCAAAAATTGCCAATAATAGAGTGGCATGAACATAGAACTTGGGATACATAAATGTAAGTATCACTCTTCTGTTTTCCTTTTGATTTCTCTTTCAAAAATTGCCAATAATAGAGTGGCATGAACATAGAACTTGGGATGCAGAAAAGAGTTACAACTAATGGCAAAGAAAAAGAAAAAACCAATAGCAAATTGAAGTCTATTGGACACAGTCATTCATCTTCAGTGGTGGTCCTTCCCCTTTCCCTCTGCTTTCTGGCAGGACTTTGCCTTGCCCTGGGAAAAAAAGAATTACATTGAGGCAGTGAGTTGCAATAGTGCACCGCTATTTTTTGAAAAAGAATGGAATTTTTTCAAATTATTATTCTTGAACGATGTTCAAACAAATTTCATCAAATTTTGCCAAAGAACCTTAGAAATACGGTATTACTGTCATCTGCAAAATTCACAAAACATCTGACAAGACGGCAGAAATAACTGATTTGAAAATGTGAACAGTACAGATGGAAGCACTTCAACCATATCATCATGGAGCGCTCCATATAAAACTTGAGCAAAACTCCGCTAAATATATAATCCACAGTTTACTGCAAAGTGCATAAGACAGATGAGGAAGTATGCTTCGTGGCTAAAAATTTCTGAAGCTTCTCTTCTCCACCATTCCAGTACTGAGTAATTTCATTGAGCAAGCAGTTTGATCTATGATCTTTTAATAAGCAACATAAGGTTGTCACCTTATATTGTAGAATTAAGGGGCACCTCAAAAATCCATCGAAAATGGTGGTTTTGATGTTGGAGAGCCATTTAATTAATTGTTGAGACGAATGGATATGAACAAAAACGATTTTAAGTCCTAAAAATAGTACATCTCACAACATTATTTTGAACCGTCTATTTTCAAGATTTTCACGCGTTTATAAATCTGCTTGATTTAAACCATTTTTGGAGTTTAAAATTTTATAACCAGAGATAAAAATAGATTCTCGAACCATCCTAAGAAATTTCGACACCAAAATTGCATCTTATGACAAAGATTGCAGGCGCACCTTACTTTGATTGGTTAAGGTTCCAACCTCATACAAACCACACCCTTTAACTAATACAACAAAATGTTGCATTCAACATATACTTCATATTAATCACAAATTCAACATTAAATCCGATGTTAAATAGAATTTTCGATACCAAAATGTGTTCCATGTTGTATATTTTGCTTCTCTAAATCACCACCATTATTCATCATCATCATCATCCAAACCTTATCCAAACTAATTGGGCTCAACTAAATGAATCATGTTCTGCCATTCTGCTCTATTAAGAGTCATACTCTCAATCAAATCATAAGTCACGACATCTCTTCCCACTACTTATATCCATATCCTTTTAAGTCTTCTCCTTGGCCTTATAGCACTTTAACCAAATTCTCTCCTAACCAGTATTGTATTCAGTCTATGCTGCACATGGCCAGCCCACCTAAGTCTACTTTCCCTCATCTTATCGCCTGTTACAGCCACCCATAAGTTCCCTCAAACATATTCATTCTGGATTTTTTCCTTTCCTGTTTTTGCCACTCATCCATCTGAACATCATCATCTCAACTACATTCATCCTATAGATATGTTGTTTCTTAAGCGCCCAATATTCAGTCCCATAAAGCGTAGCTTGTCCCACAGTCATCCTATAAAACTTACGCTTCAGTTTCATCGGGAAATGGCAATCACATAAAACTCCAAATGCACATCTTTAATTCGCCCACCTAATTCTAATTCTATGCGAGTCATCTTCCTCAATGTCTCCATTAGCGACTTCCATTTTGCCTTTCTCCAACTAATATAAATATATATATATATAAATGGAAAATGCTGAGATTAGCCCACTAACTCATATGAACCTATGTGTTATGTGTTCACATGAGCCCAACGGCCCAGATTGAATCTGAGCCGATCAGACGGTCACGACCTCATTTCGTATTTGAATTTTAATTTTTTTCTACGAATCCAAATAATTTGAAACTTTATGCTTGCATTCTTCAAAAACAGAATTATGTAATAAAAATATTAAAAAAATATTTTGTGAGAAATAAATGGACCAAAATACCCCTGAAACATGTCAAGGGTATTTTGGTCAATTTATTTTTTACGAATTATTTTTAAAATATTTTTATTAGATGAGCCTTGATGAGAAGAATGGACGCCTAAAATTTCAAATTACTTGGATTTGTAAAAAAAAATTAAAATTCAAACGCGAAATGAGATTGTGATCGTCATTTCGGCCTAGATTCAATC